TGGAACAACACAGAGCAGCAAGCACCTGCTCATTTGAAGTACCTTGCAGATACAACAAGGATGAATGCTAGGCTGGCTGAACTTAATGAGAACTTTAAAGTCATGACAGTAAAACATTACCTTTTGGCTACTATTAAATTTTGCAATTTTTTGATAGAGGCACAGATGCCCTGTACCCATCTATGTAAACAGGAAATAAACAGCATTTTGCACCATTTAAAAAACCAATCACAAACAGTTTCAAAAAAGATTATTAGCCACAGGCAATATGTCAAAGATCAGAAAAGAAAAAATATTCCCAGCAAGGCAGAACTCGCAGAGCTGTCCACAGAGCTCATGATGAGGATTCCTGAATATCTAGGCAAGTTAATGCTTTCATGGTCTTCCAGTGTTTTCTGATATTACATGGTGTTTTCATGATCAATATTGTTTTCTGATATTACATAGTGCTTTCATGGTCTTTAGTGTTTCCTGATATTACATAGTGCTTTCTTGGTCTCCTAGTGTTTTCTGATATTACATAATGATTTCATGGCTTTCTATTGTTTTCTAATATTACATAATGCTTTCATGGTCTTCTAGTGTTCCAGAATATCGAGGTAAGTAAAAACCAATTTGTTTTGCGGACAGGACATTCTCATCAACATCACACTCACGTGTTGTGTTTCACTTTCATAGGATCTCTTAAGCGATACTGACAACTAAAGCTTCCAGAATAAGTTCATTGGAGCACTGGCAACATATGTGTTTGCCAACACAGGCCACCGCAGCAGTGTCCTTATGAATTTAACCCCGAAGGAGGTCAGGGAGGCAGAGATTGTGGAAGATAAGGTCGTTATCCATGTGAGTGCCCAATAACTTGCTCACGTTTTCATCACGTCTGAGTGCCCCAAGACATCGATGCAGGACACAGTCACAGACTATCGTCATGTTTGAGAACTTGTCATCTTATCTTTATAGGTAAAGGACCATAAGACATCTGGGTCTTTTGGTCGGGCAAACATAGCCCTGACTTCAAAAGAATACAAATGGTTCACGGGCTTTGCCCACATACGGTCCCTGCTGCCCGGCTTTACTTCCTTTACAAACACATTCTTCACATCCTCGGGCATGCTAATGAGAAAGATAAATGACAGGGTGATGGAGACGTGCATCGACTGCGGCATGTCTCGTCCCTTCACCATTTCTCAGATTAGTAGTGGTGTTTCAACATGTGTAAGTGAAAGTAGTGTTTTCTGATATTAAATAATGCTTTCATGGTCTTCAAAATGTTTTCTGATATTACATAGTGCTTTTATGGTCTTCTATTGTTTACTGATATTACATAATGCTTTCATGGTCTTTTAGTGTCTTCTGATATTAAATGATGATTTCATGGTTTTTTATTATTTTCTGATATTAAATAATGCCTTCATGGTCTTTAGTGTTTTCTGATATTACATAATGATTTCATGGTTTTCTACTGTTATTACTGATATTACATAATGCTTTCATAAACAACCTTAAAGCCTTTTTATTTACAGATCGTCTCAAACGTGATCAATTTGTCTTTGCCATTCACAGATTGAAAGGAACCTGCCGGAGGACCAAAGACGCAGGGTGGCACACATGATGTGCCACAGCCTCGAGACTGTGGACCGGTTCTATGTCGTGGAGCCCGAGCTAGCAGAGTTGCATGCAGACCGTGAATATCTGCGACATGCCCTCGGCCTCAGCAAAGGTCCACGGCATAGTGCCGGTCCGCAGTCCGGGAAGGTCACACATGACAAACTGAAGAAGACCGCGTCCAAACGGCAGGCTCCCATTGGTCCGTCCTCTAATTCCTCAGATGAGGAGCAGGTGGGGGGAAAGCAATCACGCTGTGGAGAAGGGACGAGCGGTGCCAGCAAGGAGGTCTCTTGTAGCGGAGTGGAGGCGCTGTCTGGCAGTCCAGCAGAAGGTGACGTCTCCTGTGCAGGAAAACATGATGTTAGCAAGTGAACAGTGATAGTGAAGCTGAAGTAGCATGTTTGTTTAATACAGTTGGTGATAATGTGATGGCTGCTGTGGAGAAACATGAAAGTAAACATGTAAAAACAGGAAGTGAAGACTTCAATTTGGAGATGGACGAGGAAGAGGAGGAAGACAAGGATAATGGCATTGAAGTAAGTTTCACCAGTTAAGTATTTTGATAATTGGAGCATTATGCTAATATTTGTGGGCACAGAAATGCATATGCATGTCAAACTAAAAACACATGTTTTCTTTTGTCACAGATGCCAAGTCCACTTTCAAAGTCTGTGCCATACACTAAGGTAATGTTAAGGTTTTTAATGTAAATTTTGAGATAAATTTCTAAATTTTAATGTTTGTGGTAATTGCATGTGATTAAACTAATATGATGTTCTTTCATATATCTCAGAACATAAAGCCCCGGAGAAGATTAATATACCCAGAGACACTGAAAGACTTGCTGCGAGAAGAATTTAACCCTATGGAGTGAACCAGGGGCCCCTTGCATGGGGCGGCATTTCTTCCCTCTTTGTAATAATTACCTTATAACTTCAGATATAAAAGTCACAGACACATGCCTGATACCTAAAAGCAAAGTTGACCACTTTACAATTGATTGTAGGAAGTTCA